TGTCGTGTGTGTGTGTGTGTGTGTGTGTGTGTGTGTGTGTGTGTGTGTGTGTGTGTGTGTGTGTGTGTGTGTGTGTGTAAAATCTATTTTAATAAACTAGATCAATTTAGTGCTCATGTAGATCAGTATATTTTATACACTGGAAATTTGACATGTAAATCACTAAATGTAATGTAGATTCCATTTAATTAATTCATATGACTCTTTCAGATTAAAGTCAGGAACCCTTATTTTTGTAACATCTCAAAGTTGTTTAAAAAAAAAACAACAACTCTAAAGCTTCATAAGGGCTAACTGCCATCTTGTCTTGATGTTGCAGTTCTTGACTGAGCTGCAATTTTATGCTCACCTGCCAAATCTTCCATGAAACAATATGTGAGCCACTAAAGAGCTGATATTTTATGCAAGTCAAGTTTAATTAATACTAAAGCACTAAAGGGGTTGGTCTGTCTGGATTTCAAATAAATTAATGTAGATTTTACCATCCAGTATTTAGGACTTCATCGAAAGCCCAGTAAAGTCAATAGGGGTCTTTCCATTGACTTCAATGGATATTATATCAGGCCTTTAAAAATGACAAAGCAAGGATGGAGGAAAAGTACTGACCTAAATAAGTGCGTAAATGAACCCCCTCTGGCATAGTATTTAAAATAAAGCATGTATTTATTATAGTTAGTTTACATGTATTAAATATGATGGGTTTTGAGTTTTGTTTTTAATTTCTTTAACTTTCAAAAAAATGATGAATCACTGATGTTTTGATATTTATTTATTTTATGAGCTGCAAGTGTTGTCATTCCTCATATACTTGTAGCAGATATTAGATATCAAAAAAAGAAAGTAAGTTGTCATTCATGTGGGGAAGCTAAGGTTAATCTTCCTTGCCATGATTCAGTGCCTCAATGAAACTGATAAGCAGAAACTACACATAGAGTATGTGGAAACTGGTTTGCCTTCTTTTAAATTATTAAAAAGAACAGCTGTGAGAAACTTAAAGAAACTATCAGGACATTCAAGTCTTATGAGGGAAGAATCGTCATTCTTAATGAAGTATACAAAAGAAAAATAGACATTCCATATTGCAAACCCTTGCAGTAAGAACCTTTACAGAAATGCAAGTCAAACACAAACTGGCCATAGCATTCACACTAATTCAGAAAAATTGTGTTGACTATCTGATAAACACACCGAAAAAAAATCTTAATTGATTTGACAAAGAAGCTCGCAATAGTAAGATGGATGGGATGATCTCTCAGGCCTTTTCCATCTATAACTCCTATGATTTTACAACATAATTCAATACTAAATACATTAACAAAAAGCCATAATCTGGACAGTGCAGTTGCAGGAATAAAATGTGTAAAAGAAAAAAAAGATACGCAGAATACCGGTACATTTTTTTGTTGTTACTCTGAAATACTTCAGATTTCCCACAGTATATTTAATTACGATATCCTGGCCAAATTCATCCCTGGTGCAGCTCTGCTGAAGTCAGAGTTGCATCAGGGATTAATCTGATCAATTATGCAGTTACCTTAGGTGAAAACAGTACTGGACTTAATTTTTTTTTTAAAAAACACATCTGTATTAGGATACAGAAACAGAGTATAGGGTTATGAAGGAGAAAGATTTAAAACAGCAATACACAAGCAATATATAAAATCCAAAAATGACAAACATATTTAACATATGTGCCTGTTGTCATTCAGAGAATACATATACTTATATTAATTTGTTTTTTTTTCAAAAACTAGATTACCAAATATGATTGATTGATATATATATAAATATATAACTTTTAAAATACTGTCATTTACAGATTTTAAGTGAGTTCTCGTGGTTAGTATGGTCAGCATGCTCACAGGATGAGACACAGGTCCCTATTACTTACTGTTGCTATGGCAAAATATACAGTATAGAAAAAAATCAGTGAAGAATGATTCGAAGGACAGGGCCAGAGCTAAAAAAAATTAGTAATAAAATGTAGAAGTAAATATTATTACATGTACTATGTTACATGAACATTTTGTTAAAAAAAATCATGACAATGAAAGTAAACTGTTACACACAACGTGAAAACCTTAACTGAAAATTGATGGTTTGTTTCTTCAGAGGTCAGTAATACAGCCTGGAAAAAAAAATGGTTACCTACCTTTCGTAACTGTTGTTCTTCGAGAGGTATTGCTCATGTCAATTCCAAGTAAGTGTGTGCGCTTCGCATGCATGATCCTAGCGGTACCAGTCGGGTTGACTGTGGAGCCAGCTGGAGTGGTGCCCTTATGCCAGTGAATATAGGTCCTTGCTGACCCGCTGCCTCTTCAGTTCTTTCTTGCCAGATACTCCGACAGAGGAGAGGCGGGTGGGTCTTGGAATGGACGTGAGCAACACATCTCGAAGAACAACAGTTACGAAAGGTAGGTAACTGTTTTTCTTTTTCGAATGATTGCTCATGTCAATTCCAAGTAGGTGACTCCCAAGCAGTACCCCAGAGGAGGGGTCGGAGTTCACCAAGCTGTCGATTGTAGCATGGCTCTACCAAACGCAGCATCACTCTAGCCTGCTGAGTGATGGTGTAGTGCAACATAAAAGTGTGAACAGACAACCACATCTCCGCCCTGCAGATGTCCTGAATGGAGACCTGCACCAGGAATGCTGCAGATGAAGCCTGTGCTCTTGTGGAGTGTGCTGTCAATGCTGGGGCCGGAATCTTTGCTAGGTCATAGCACGTTCTGATGCAGGCCATGATAAAAGAAGAGATTCTCTGAGAGGAAACAGGGAGACCCTTCATTCTTTCGGCAACAGCGATGAAGAGCTGCTGTATTGTTGACAACAAATAGAAGGAAACGTCTGTGGGACAGGATTATGGATACATGGAAGTATGCGTCCTTCAAGTCAAGAACGGTTACCAGTCCCCTGGATCCAGAGAGGGAATGATGGAAGCCAAGGAGACCATGCAAAACTTCAGCTTCTTCATGAATCTGTTGAGGTTTCACAGGTCGAGAATAGGCCGGAGCCAACCCTTGGCCTTGGGGATTAGGAAGTAATGGGAATAGAATCCCATGCCCCTGAACTCCATAGGTACCTCTTCTGCTGCCACGAGTTGTAGGAGTGTTTGCACCCCCTGCACTAGAGGTTGCTTGTGAGAAGGGTCCAGAAGAGGGACAGGGAAGGTGGGTGGGGGGATACAGAATTGGAGAGAATATCCCAATACTACCATGCTCATGCTCATCTGATGTTATTTGGGCCCAAGCATGGTAGAAATGGGATAGACGGTTTACAAAAGGAGGGGAAGGATCCAGGATATGGACTGGTGCGATGTCCCTGGGCGCACCTTCAAAAGTTTTTCTTAGGAGCCGGCGACTGTCTCTCCGAGCCAAGGCCCTGGGTAGAGGGTGACTGAAGAGGCCTTCTCCTATTATTCCTACCCCGTCTCCTGTTATAGTCTTGCCTCAGCTGAGAAGGGTAGAAGCAAGGCGGGGGCTGAGGCTTGAAATGCTTTCTTTGCGGGGCCGGCGTATGAAGCCCCAAGGACTTTAAGGTTGCTCTAGAGTCCTTGAAACTATGGAGCCTAGAGTCTGTCTGCTCAGCGAAGAGACCCGCACCATCGAAGGGCAGGTCCTGGATAGTCTGTTGGACCTCCTGGGAGAGGCCCGAGACTTGTAGCCACAAGCTGTACCACATGACAATGGCCGTGGACATTGTACAGGTGGCCGAGTCCGCTGAGTCTAATGCAGCCTGCAAGGAAGTCCTTGCAATGGTCTTGCCTTCCTTCAGGACTGCCCGAAAGTCAGAGCGGGAGTCAGATGGAAGTAGCTCCTTAAAAGTTGGACAGGGAATTCCAAGAGTTAAAACGGTAGAAGCTAACTGCCTGCTGATTGGCGATTCGAAGCTGGAGCCCCCCAGTAGAACAGACCTTTCAGCCAAAGAGCTCCAGCTTCTTTGCCTCTTTAGACTTTGGACTGGGGCCCTGGTGACCCTGCCTTTCTTTGGCACTGGCCGCATGCACGACCAGCGTGCCCAACTGAGGGTGGGTGAAAAGGTATTCGAACCCCTTAAAGGGTACAAAGTACTTCCTTTCCACCCCTTTAGCTGCGGGAAAAATAGAAGCAGGAGTGTGCCAGAGGGACTTGGTAGTATTGTGGATGGTCTTGATCAACGGCAAGGCCATGTTGGAAGGACCTTCTGGCATCAGAATGTCCACCATAGGGTCCATTTCTTCTGACACCTCCGTTTGCAGGCCCAGATTTTGGGCTACTCTTCTGAGCAGCTCCTGGTGGGCTCTATTGTCCAAAGCCGGTAAGGAGGCAGATGAGCTCGCTACCGCCTCGTCTGGGGAGGAGGATGAAGAAGCCCTCATAGGCACAGGGTCCTCCTGACCTTCCAACTCACGGAGGTCCTCCCATGCAGGAGCTTCCTGTGCAGGGGCAGATGCGGTGCCGGATGCGAATTCGGTGCTGGGTCCAGTGCCAGCCCAGATGCTGGGCTCGGAACCCCTTGGAGGTTCCCTCACCATGGAGGCAGATGGGGGTCCCCATCTGTCCGATGCGATTGAAAGGGACCTGGGCCTTGGCCCCTGAGCT